AGTTCTAAGATGGATTTTGGGCTGGGCTCATGCACCGGACATTACCTTCTGAACAGCAGCAACAGCAGCAAAGTCATTTTTGTCTATCAGAGCGTACTTGCTGCGTAATCTGGCCTCCACTTCGTGCTCCTGTTGACTAAGGGAGACAATAGCCCCTTACCGTTGTGTTCAAGGACTATTTGGTATGTCAAAACCTATAATACCTGCCACTACCAGATTTCTAAAGAAAACCATCTTTTACCTGTCATCTCACCTTGCTGCTTCTATTCTTCCCCATAACCATCGTAACCTTTTCCCATTCCCCTCCTCCTTTCTTTTTCTATGATGCTCCTTTGTGCCTTTCAGACACAGAAGCTTTTTGGTGGCTATTGTAATACTTAGCAGAACCTTTTAATGATCCTGATCAAATAATATTATATCTGTAATCTGCAAGTTAAAAAAGAATCAAGCCCACTCTTTCGGAAAAATAAAAAGAGTCCCAAGTTAAAAAAAATAATAATCAGGCAAAATTTTACCATGAAACCCATTTTGATCCTGGGTCCCAGCAAAGCCTGGCTGCCCAGACTGACCACAGACACTTGTGTTCACACCAATTTCTCAAGGGCAGGCAGATTTTTTACAGCAATATCCCAATGTCACTCTTGTGAGTAGCAACCTCTGCTGCCTAGCCAAACCCTTGCTGCAAAGGTTGGTGGGGCAGGAAGCGAGTGGATTGCCCTAATACCCTTCTTCTTCTTAATTTGCTTCTATTTCATGGCATGAAAGCTGTTTGTCCTCATTTTTAGGATTTTTTTCCAGCCTGTCATTCACCTTCCCTCCTTCAGCCTGAAAAACAACTTTCATCATCAGCGAAGTTTCCCTTGCACGTGACTTACGCGCACTGGAAGGCTAGAGGCAATCATCTTCTTGTGCAAAGGCTAGCAGAATTTGTCCAGAATTGTGTTTTCCATTACAAGCTATTCCCTGTACTTCATAATAATTCTTCACCAATGTCACGGTGTGATATCACAGACAAAAGCTCGGTGGAATTTCTAAACCTTACTGCGAAATGCATCGACCTTGGATATCTTACCTTACAATCAGTTTGAACTGCTTAAATACCTCCTGGACTTGCCTGACGTTCACTATCTGAGGAAGAGATGTATACAGTGAAGATAGAGGTAAGCATTTCTGTGCGAGGGCTCTGCTTTCCACTTGCTGGGTATCCACACTCGAGGAGAGCTACCTTTATCCTGCACTCGAGAGTCAGGCTGGAGGTGGATACATTGCTCACTCTGAGGAGATTTTTAAAGAGAGGGGAAGCTGATAGACTCTGGTAAATGCCACGGAGTGCAGAGCCATCAAGATAATGAATTATTTACAATAATTTTACAATAGATGGCATCTACTGACCTTGCAGATTATGATGCTACTTCTCTTTTCACTACCGCCCAAGGCTGCCCGAGTATCTGGAACTGCCAGAGCGCTATCTTTAGTCCTCTTACCCATGATAACAAAGCAGTGCAGCCAAGGCATGCTGCTATCTCTGTTTTGGAGATGATGAGCAGAGGCATGGACAGACAAGTAACGGGAAGTCTGTAGCAGAGCAGGAATCTGCACTCAGCTCTCCTACGGTCCAAGAGACTGAACCAAGCTATTAGATTCATCATCTCTGTTCTCAAACCCCTCTCTAAAAGACTCTTCAGTGCCGCTGAAGACATCCTTTCCCGTGTGAGACTCCTTAGTCCTTCTCTGCCTCCCCTGCTCCACAGGTTTTGCAGCCCAGGTAAAACACAGCTTCACGTAAGCCCTTATTCCGCTCCACTCCTGCCTGCTGGAGGGAGGAAACAGGGACTTTGAGAGAAGATAACGATTACGTGAAATGAGAGGGAGTGTCTCAAGTGTTTCATTTAAATAAAGGGTTATCTAACTGTTTGGAAAACAGTCTTCAGCAACTTCTGCACTGTTGGCACAGTGGCTCTGTTCACAACCAAACAAAACTCCCAGTGTACATTTATAACTGTCATTTTCTTACGTTGGGTTTGTTTTCCTGTTTGTCCCCACAGGAATATTTGTGTACGCAGGACTTCTGCTGTTTCTTTTCGCAATCATTTTGCAGTCAACAGGTAGTTTAAAGTCGAGAAACCCTGCTCTCTAAGAGACCAGATGTATTTTGGCAACACACCTTGCAAAGATTTAGCTTGACATTGGCAGAGCAAAATTGTGACATTAATTCTTTAAAGAAGTTCCAAATAAACCAATTCAAAGAGTTTGAGGACTGAGGAAAAAGCCTCAAAAAAAGCAAAAATGGAATGAAAACGAGGACACAGTCGTTAACATGCAACAAAAAAAATTAAATTACAATTCTGTAGCAGTTTTTAGGTTAAAGACAGCCTCTTCAGAAGACATTTTCATTGCTTCTGTCTTGGAGTAAAATGGGATGGACTCAGTGTTTAAGTCCTTCTCTACTAGAAAGCTACTTACATCAATTTCATTGATGCCTCCTTTTAGGTATCTATGAACTTGAGACTTAATCTCTGCTATCTGGATGTCAGTCAGAGGGTCATAAGTCACCAAAGAACGATTTACCTAAGAAAAAAGGTAAATAACTGAGTATTAGCGAATTACAAAAAGCTGAGCAAGTATTAGTCTGGCAAACACCTGACATTGCTCTACTGTGCCCAGGGAAGCCTTATGTTTCATTTCTCATCATCCCAGTTGCCTTGGGAGCACGCTGAAAGCAACGCATTCCCTTTCATGTTTCAATCAAACAAGAGGAGGGCTTCAGGAGTCTGAAAAAGAAAACATCTGCAGTGGATGGGGGCTGAAGCTACAACACAATCTCACCGCATGGGATCCTCCGAGCTTTGCCTAACCCCCAAAAGACAGAGCTGGAAGCAGAAGGAAGAATACAATCACACTGGACACTGAGTTAACTGATTCTATTGCAAAACAAAGATGAGGACAAAGCCTTAACGAGGTCCCGTCTAAGAGGCTGCAGCCTGTTCCTTACCAAGCTGTCATGCATGGCGAGTTCCTGCTTGAGAAGAATAATCTCCTTCTCCAGAGCCTTCACTGTCCCCTAGCAGGAAAACAAAAGGGTGAGCAAATGACCAAATGTTCTTGGAGGGGGGGGAAAAAAACAACCCCTGCTGAAAAGCAGCGTTAAACTGGCTGCTAGAGAACGTCACAGCTCTGTACCAGCTCCCCCAGGGTTTGCTGTCAGGTTTGCATCAGTGAAGTTGCGAGTCTGGAAATCACTTTGCCTTTGATTAGCTTCCAACAGGAGGGCTTCTGTCGTGTCCCGGGTGTACAGCCTGCAGAGTCCGCCTAAGCCATCGAAAGAAGGGCTGCCTGGATTTAATTTGATGCTTTCCTGATCTGGGGCTGTAGGGGCCATCGAGTTCTGGACCACGAGACATTACCTTGAAAGCAAAGAAGTACGCGGGTTTCCACTCTGACCCTGACTGAAGTCAGCGGGAGTTCTGACATTAACTTTAATAGAGGAGGGAGTCTCCCGTGGTGTATTTGATTGAATTTCTGCATAATGTGGAACACCTTCAAGCATTCACTGTTGAGAATGGGTTTCCAGAAAGTTGTGGGTACACAAATCTTGGTATCCAGCAAGAATTGGGTACTGAGCTGCTTTGTAAGCATCGCAGCACAATAACTGCCTTAAACCCTACTTCTTCAGCTTCTCTTTTCCACTCCACACAACAAAAGTGAAAGGGACTGAAGAGGAAAAGACAGTTTGTAGCACGGTTTCTTCTGGAAGCTGTTGGAAGAAACTCCTTGGCTGTTTCTCTGCTTGCCAGTGAGCTCAGACCATGAAATACAGCAGGGCTCTCACACACCCCATGTGTTACGGGTCAGATAATTCTAAACTTGTTCTTTGGGCTATCAGTAATTCATAGAGCATTTACTGCTGCCAGCTGTGTTTCAGCTGTGAAAGTGCACTCAGGACATCTAAAGTACTACAATTGTTTTCTTTAAATTATTTCCTTGTTTAAACAAGTTTTGGCAAAAATGTTACTCTACCAGAATACACTGTGTAAAGCTGTGGGTGGGACTGGAGATGATTTCCCCACGGACCAGGGGAGCAGTCCACGACATAATATCTCTGTTACGAGGTGAACCTCATCAGAAAAATTAAGGATTCATACGCATGCAGTTGAAAGAATTACCACGTGTCAGGGAAGACGTGACCATCTGCATGACTGTACCCTCCAGCATATTGAAGGTCACTGTAATTAAATACCGATGAAAAAAGTTTAATATTAATCCATTTTATCATAAATTCAGTGAGTGCCAGCTTGGCTGATGAGTGGTAATTCATTAAACTACTGAATTTCCCTCTGTTTTGTAAGGTCATTATCCTAAATATTAATGAACCTGAGAAAAGATGCCGCCTTCTGTTCCCCTTCTCTACATACCTCTCGGTCATACCTCTCATTGATGACCGGCTCTGTTGTGATCCATTTCATTCTGGTAGCAAAACGAAGAGAAGACAACTGAAAAACATGGGGTTTAAGTAACTGAAAGAGATATCGGCAAGGATATAATGTTCATAATCTGGTACTACTTAATCATATCAGATCCCAGAAGACAGAAATACAAAAGCTATTTAACTGCAGGGAGCAGTTAGGATTTCTCATCCGGGAGCGTATCTGCTAGTGCTCCCTGGCTTCTGCGTGATTAGCGAGCTTCAGATGATGGCTTTGTCTTTTCCTAAAAACTCCAAACCACACATCAATGGCCTTCAAGCTGAATTCCTGTAATTGTGGGATCTTGAGAGTGAGCGCCTGCAGCCTGAAAATCCTCCTCTTGGTGCCAAGTATAGCAGCTATTTCCTCAGATGTATAGATAGATTTCCTCCTACCTTTCTAGACGCTATCAGAACACGAGCAAATGATAAAAACACCACTCTGCCTTGAGGACAACTGCATAAAAGGTGTCTGTGTTTACATTTTTTCACTACTAATTTTCTTGCCAAAGAGCAAAGTCATTCCCTTCTACGTGTTCCAAATGCAGTTAAGTTGATCCAGCTCACACGGTAAGGCTTTCAGTATTTCACAGGTTAAAAAACCCCAAACCCTTACTGTTTGGAGGTTACTCCTGATTCCTGAACCAGCTCCACTCTGATGTGAACTGGTGCGATTTTGTCAACCTCATTATGGGATGCACCATTCAAACACATTTGTTGAGTTTGTAGAGTTCATAGAACCATAGAATATGGGAATGGTTTGGGTGGGCAGGGACCTCCCAGCCCACCCAGTGCCACCCCTGCCATGGGCAGGGACACCCTCCACTAGCCCAGGTTGCCCAAAGCCCCATCCAACCTGGCCTTGACCACTGCCAGGGAGCCAGGGGCAGCCCCAGCTTCTCGGGGCAACCTCTGCCAGGGCCTCAGCACCCTCCCAGGGAAGGATTGCTGCCTCCCATCCCATCTCCATCTCCCCTCCTGCAGCTTCAGGCCATTCCCCTTGGCCTGTCCCTCCCTGCCCTTGGCACCAGCCCCTCTCCAGCTTTCCTGGAGCCCCTGCAGGGACTGGAAGGGGCTCCAAGGTCTCCCCGCAGCCTTCTCTTCTCCAGGCTGAACCAGCCCAACTCTCTCAGCCTGAGGTCTCCAGAGCAGAGGTGCTCCAGCCCTCGCAGCATCTCCGTGGCCTCCTCTGGACTCGCCCCAACAGCTCCGTGTCCTTCTTGTCCTGGGGACCCCCGAGCTGGACGCAGCACTGCAGGGGGGTCTCCCCAGAGCGGAGCAGAGGGGCAGAATCCCCTCCCTCGACCTGCTGCTCACGCTGTTTTTGAACCAACAATAATAATTAACACTATCCAGCGTGTTTAGATTTTAGCTCCTTGTTCCTGCTCTATTTCAGACTCTCATTTTCTCCCAGGGGCAGTTACCACTCGACTGCATCACAAAGCAGATTGGCCAGAGCAAGCTGTTTTCTGAGCCTTTGCGATAAGATGAGCTCTCCAGTGTTTGTGATGAATTAGGCAGGATGTTTCTCTGGGACTCCTGCCACACTCCTCCAGAGACTATTCTTTAAATCTAGTCATGGCCAATCACAACAGTAGCAGCAACAAGACTTTAATTCTGCAAAAATCAATTCAACTTACGGTCTCTTCTACATGCACAGCTTCTCCACAGATATTTGCCACTAGGACAGTATTGCAGTTTCCTCCTGGGAAAAATTAAAAAAACAAACACACAAGCAAAGAATATAATTTGGGGTTTTTCGTTGTTTCCTTTTCTGGAATGTATTATATCATGCGCTGACTAAAATAGAGAAAAAGAAGCAACAAAGAATACAGCCAGTTTGTAACTGTCCCTCTAAAGTTCCCATGGGTACAGAAACACAGTGGCACAGAATGACTTAAGAATAAAGGTAAAATGGGTTTCTCTTGTGGTGACGTTGCAGTAAGAAGATGGGAATGCAAATTGTGAAAGCCTGAAATCAGGAAAACCGGAGCAGAGGATTTTAAAAGCCCTTGGCCTAAATCTGCTAGCGGGGAGCCTGGCAGGACATAGCTTCTGCCTTTCCTAAAAGCAACACAAGACTGGTGTGCGGAACACCTCGAACGTCACTCGCATTTCTGGTGACGTCGGTTACTCCACACAAATGTCTACAGCCTGTTTTCACCTGCTTTCTCCTCCCACGGCTCCAGCCTGCATTCCAAGAGCATAAGCTTTTCCTGGGGATCACGAAGCACCACAGCTTTGGGTTTATCATCTGTAGCCTGATGCAAAAGCAGAAACATCTGAAAAGGCTGTAACGTGCTGGGTTGTTTGGGGTTTTTTGGTGGTGGTAGGTTTTTAATGTATTGTAACTAAGATTTTGTGATTTTTCTACTGGCTTGATCAGTGTGGGTTTTGTATGTCTCCTGTGCCTGCTGTTTTATTTGATGATGAAAACCAGATATCCTTTGAATAACAAATTAGTTCCACACGTTCGTATGTTATGGCCTTAGGACCTGAAACATTGAAACATCCCTGTTTTCTAGGAACTGTCTGGTGCTGTCGTAATCCCCAGCTCTTACCTAGCGAGTCCTTGAGAACATGAGTGAGCTTGCTCTGCCGGAAGGGGATGTGGTCCCGCTTAGGATCAGCCAGGGCAATGATGATTTGCTCAAGGAACGATAGAGACTTGTTGATGTACGTGGCTTCCTTCAGAACCTGGCCTTCAGACTGTAACAGAGATCAAAAGGCAAAGCTTCCACTCCATGCGTTTCTAAAGAGCGTAGTCCTCAGCGAGGGTACAACTTGACTGCCAGGGTAAGGATCTAATTCAGACCCAATAAATTCATGAGCTAGAGCTTTCTTCAGCTTGAAAATAAGCTTTCAGAAGCCTCAGTTTTTCATTACAAGCCCACAAAGACTGCTGTCTTTCCTTCCCAAAGGATAAATCATGTATTTGTCACAGGGCTGATGCAATCTCTAGTCTGATCAATACAGAATGTCACGTGGGACCTGAGGAGCTTTCAGCTGGTAGCCCTAATGCTCTCAGAAAGTTTCAACAGTTTGCCTGCTGTGACCAGAAGTGGGGGATTTACACTGTGACTCATGGAACGAAGAGGAAAAATCACAGGTTCTTTGTCTTAATAGCTGATGGCTCTGGCCCCTTCTTTTGCGGAGAAATGATAGAGTCAGATAAACAAACTGAATCTGGGTCAGGTTGGAAGGCGCGTTCTTACATGTGGACTTAGAAATGATCCACAGCAGCTGCAAACAACTGAGCACCCTCTGATGTGTTAACGCGACTTACGGTTTGTCACAGGCTCTCCTGTTTATCACAGGTGGAATTCTGTTGTGGGGAAAACCCGTAATTTCACCTACACCGTGTTGATCACTAGACTCTTCACTGAAATATTTCTTCCGTTACTTACTCCAGTCTTGCTCAGTCTCTCCGAGCCTGCCAGATCAATTAAGTTGATTTTAGAGTTAATGCATTTGACATCTGAGAAAACTCTGAAACGAGACTGAGGGGGAAAAGAATATAAACTGTACTTAACAGTAGACAAAACTGAAATACAGTAAAAAACAGACATGTAAAGGTCCTCAGCCGTTTGAGACCCTAGAAAAACTGCTGGAGCTCTTACCTCAATATAAATAGTGAAGATGCAATGCGATCTGGATGAATTTTTATTCAGCGTGTGCTCTGCTATCACTCTGTTGGTCTCACCCTGCAAATGAAGTAAAAAATGAAGACAGTGTTTTTAAACTTCTGCTTTGGTAAGATAAAGGAAAATTAGAAATACGCACAGTTAAATAAACAACGGTTCAATCTTCACTCAGTTAGAGCAGTCAGAGCAGGAGCTCACCGTATCTGCCTTGTTTTCTTACTCAAAGGCCCCTCAAAGCATTTCACGATGCGGTTGGTAAAGGTCACTGTTTACTGTAATAATGCGATTTTACCAGAGACCACATTATTTGCATTTCCACTTTCAAGGCTCAGCTTGATCTGTGGCTTTTTGAGGAACAGCCAAGCAAATCTTGTTCAGAGGCAATGCCTCCCTAGCTGTTTCAGTTTCTTGATGACTAGAAAACCAAAGAGGTCCCCAAGCTTCAAACGTCATAGAAAACTCACACATACACGAGAGCCACGAATTCGTAATGCCTATTTACAGGAAAAGAAAGCAACATCGAAAATGACGTTGCAACCATTTGTTAGGAGCACCAGTCCATCACAGAGCTGAGCTGCCAGGCTGGCACAGCAGAAAAGGAAACGGAAGGCTTTACAGCCCAGAAATGCATTTGTCAACAGGTTTCACAGCCGACTGGTCTGCCGGGGTCTCAGCGGTCTCGAAGGACGACAATCTTGGACAGCTGGAAGGTCAGCGACTGGCTCCGCACCAGGGAGTTTAAATCCC